GGGGGGGATTGGGTGCAATAAATAAGAAAGTGATGAACGATGATGATGGATACACGTGTATTCGTCGCAGACGTGGATGATTGAGTGTATTCAGTGCAGGACAACGCAGTAACAGCCGCCATTGCCCTTTACTGCCTGCAATCAATCCCGCATGCGACTATTCTTCAATCAGATCTTCTCTTGTGAGTTCGCTTTGATGTGTCCAGGTTCAGTATATGTACAAAATTGTTTATAATTTAAGCTCTTTCTAGAGAATAATATAAATTAGAGCCAAATGATTCAAATTTATTTTTTTTTTAATTGAGAAATAATGAGATTTAAATACTTAATGTAAAGTTGGTGTCTATGATTAGTCATAAAAATTCAATATATAGAAATATTTGTTAGTAGTCAACTAATGGTGGTCTAATGTCAGTATTGATTCAATGGTAATAGTCGGAATATGATGATCTGATGTTGATTGTTGTGTATTGCAATAAGATTTTTCAAATCTCTCAACTCCAAACCACTCTACTCATATAGAAAATGGGGTCATATTTAAAGTTTTTTTAATTGCTATAATAACAAGGGGTTGAATATATGAATCTTTTTTTTTTTTCATTAAATACGTCCTATTAAGAGTCATTTTTTTTCATTTTAGTCTAATATAAACAACCATTTCTAATAGTTCATAAACAAGTCTTTTTAGGTCAACCTCTATCTTTCTTAACATAGATCAGATCAAATATATCTACTCTTCTAACATGATCAAAATGGCCGCTGGAGCCATTTTGACCTGTTTACATATATACTCATTTCAAATTCTATCTCTAAGAGTTAAACCACACATCCACTTGAGCATACTCATCTTTGCAACATTTTGAGCCATTAAGCATTGCAGGTCTGGGCACCATCTTAAAGAATAAAAAAATTGATAAAATAGTACAATTTATACATTGTTATATTCATATTTAAGCGCCTTAAGTATCTTAATATGAGATATTTGAAGTTCATTTTATCCTCCAATTAATGTTCTTAAGTTTTTAAATACACTTCAAGTAGTTGAGTCGGGCTCATTTAGAATCAAATTAGATCACTTTTTAATGCCTATAATTCATCATTATTAGACATTTAGTTTCTTAATTTTATTTTTTAAAATTTTCAATTTAAATATTACCTGAAGTTTATGACAATCAAGAAAGTTTTTCAAAGACTTGTATGATCAATCGAATCCTAATCTTACTGTGAAAGATCTAAATAGTTAAAGTAACCATATAAGCTCCATGTTTCACTAAAGCAAAATCTGCCAATTTCTCAATGAAAAATCAAGTTATCAGTAACTTCTGGATGAAGCATGAAATTACCAGAAAATTTTACAACTTGTTCATATAAAAATGACTTCTTTTGGAAAAAAATATTCTCTTGGGACTTCGGACAACATTCGGAGACCAGGCCAATCAGAATACGTCATGATACCTTTTTTATTCGGTACCGGGGCTCAGTACTATTATATACCAGGTTACATAGCGCGCTCTAATTGATCTCCAAACTATTCGGTGTTCACACAGAATAATTTCTCTCTTTACGCAGACGCCGAACGCAGTCCGAAGACCAACCAGATGAGTCATGTCGTGAATCATACTGATTGATTTATGAATACACATAATAATTTATCTTTTTTTTTTTAAAGGGTGGGGGAGCGGAGAAGTTGATGCAAGCACGGGCTTTTGCCAGCCGTCGAGTAATAAATTCCCTTACATTTTAATACTATAAATATAATCATTATTTACTAAGCATATAAAAGAATATATCGGCTTAGAGTAGGGTGTTTGCAGGCTTTCAGTATCTTTCCTTCATCTGAACCGTCTATTCTCGAAAGACGGTGGCTGATCAGACTGCGCAGCCGCAAACCGCCGCCACTCTCTCTCTCTCTCCTCCCATGCCACCCCACTACGCTATTTATAGAGGGAGAAGGATTCTGGATAACCAACCGCGCAATGAGGCGGATATAAATACAACCAGTTCATTGCATCTCTTTCTTCCTCGGCGATAAGATCGAACTGAAGGATTTACCCAAAAAAACAAGGGAAAACAAACAGAAGAACGGGAGGAAGAGGAAAACAGGGGAGTTGATCAGTTGGGATGAAGCTTTCACGCGTTTCAGCTATTTTGACGCGTGAAAGGTCTCAACTTTGGGCTTTACTATAAAAGAAAAGGGCTCTGCAATCGTTTTTCTCCTCTTTATTCGCTTCTCCTTCATTCTTCTCGTATTTCACAGAGAGGAATAAGCAGAGGCCATGGGAGGAACAGAGCAGGAGAAAATGGTGATAGTGGTGAGAGAATACGAGGAGGAGAAAGATAGGGAAGGGGCCGAGCTGGTCGACCGGATATGCGAGGTGGGTCCCAGTGGCGCCGTCTCCCTCTTCACTGACCTTCTCGGCGATCCAGTCTGCCGTGTTCGCCATTTTCCTGCGTTCCTCATGCTGGTGTGCATTCAATCCAGTCCTGTCTTCCTACTTTCCTTTAAAAATTTGAACTTTTAGTATTAAAGATGAATTGACAATCGGAAGGGTACTAATGAATTTTTGCTTATCTGATTTGATTGATTGTGATGAGAGAATAGACGGCAGGATGTTTGCATTGTTAGAATGAAGATCAATAATTAATCTTCAAATTTCACTGAAATCCGAAAGGAAATCTTTATCCATAATTCGTATAAAAGGAATCATGAATAATTAATTTCTGCTTCGTGTCTTTCACTCTCTTGTTTTTCTCAATACGAAAAAACCTTCCTTTGCATTTCAGGTTGCGGAGACAACATCGCCGGAAAGAGAAATTGTCGGCTTAATCAGAGGCTGCGTTAAATCCGTCACCTGCGGAGATAAAGGCCCCCGCCGCGGCGGCGGAGGGGCCGTTCCTATCTATACTAAAGCCGCCTATATCCTCGGACTTCGCGTCTCCCCATCTCACCGGTACGCGCGCCCTCATTAACTCTCCGCTCTCACAAATGTCTTTGGCTTTTCCGTCGAATAATAAAATGCTGACATCTTTTTGCTTCAGACGACTCGGGATTGGTCTGAAGCTCGTCCAACGCATGGAAGAATGGTTCGTCTCCAAAGGAGCCGAGTACTCCTACATGGCAACCGACAACGATAACAAGGCCTCCCTGCGCTTATTCACCGATCGCCTCCACTACTCCAAGTTCAGAACCCCGAGCATCCTCGTCCACCCCGTCTTCGCCGGCCACCGCCTTCCACTCCCCCGCACCGTTACGCTCGTCCGCCTTTCCCCCTCAGACGCCGAATCCCTCTACCGCCGCCGCTTCTCCACAATCGAATTCTTCCCCCGAGACATTGACGCCATTCTCCACAACCCACTCTCCCTCGGCACCTTCCTAGCTCTCCCTTCCGGCGCCGCTTTCTCCGGCATCGAAAGCTTCCTCGCCGACCCGCCGACATCCTGGGCCGTGCTCAGCGTATGGGACAGCAAATCACTCTTCCGCCTCGAAATTCGAGGCGCTTCTCTTCTCCTTCGCGGCCTAGCGTGGACTTCTCGCGCGGTTGACCGCGCTCTTCCGTGGTTAAAAATCCCATCTTTTCCGAATCTTTTTCGTCCTTTCGGAGGGTACTTCCTGTACGGTCTCGGTGGGGAGGGTCCGACCGCGAAGGAGCTGTTGCGTGCCCTTTGTCTTCACGCTCATAACATGGCGCGCGCCGGCGGCTGCAGCGTGGTGGCGACGGAGGTCGCCGCTTGCGAGCCCTTAATCGATGGAATCCCGCACTGGAAGAGGCTATCGTGCGCTGAAGACTTGTGGTGTATTAAGCGTTTGGCGGAAGATTACAGTGACGGCGCCGTCGGCGATTGGTCCAGGTCGCCGCCGGGGAGTTCGATGTTCGTTGACCCACGTGAAGTTTGACTCCGTTTCTATGTTCGGTACTTGTAAAAATTGCATGACGTGGCGTTTTGGGGCGTGGATTCTCTATTTTGGGGTACGAAAGTGGGGTCGGGTTTGCGGTGCGCCGTTTTTGAAAGGGGAAGTGTAACGGTTATGTAGATAGCGATGTGGTGCGATGGAAGATGATGAGAATCCCGTGGCTGGTGTGGTGGAGATGAAGTAGAGGGGCATATTTGACATTTCGCAAGACTTTACTATATCTATCTTGAATGATATTCTGTTTGTCTATCCATTTCTTCTTATATTTTATTTTATTTTTTAATTTTGATTAATTTCAAGTGAATATCAGTATATGGTTCTTCAACTTCCTTCTAAATTGCTTTTATTTGATATTTATTTAAAAATCTTAATTATGAAGCATGATATTAGCTTGGAGAAATTAAAACAATTATTTTTTTATTAAATTATGCTACTTCAAAATAATTTTAATTGAATTGAGTTTAATTAAGTATTTTTTTAATAATTAAAATAATTGTTTTTATACTTTACTTTTTCAAATTAGAATCATAATGTATATTTTTTTATTGCTTTTCTATTGCTTTCAAAAAAAAATTTAAAAACAAACATTTTTTTTTTCACAAGAGTTGTATAGCCGCCCTTAAGATTATAGTTTAGAGAGAGAAGAACATCTTTAGACATAAATAAAAGAAGATAATATAGTTAGAAACAAGAAGCATATCTTGCAAGTATCATGTGACCATGAAGGTTAAAAAAGGAAATAATGTTGCGAATAAAAATTTAGAGAGAGAGAGAGTCTAAACTAGGGGTGCAAAAGAGTCCAGTCCACCTTGAGTCAAAGGGCGTTCGAGTTGAGTTCGAGTGTCCAATATCAAGCTCGAGCACAACCTCGAACTCGAGCTCTTCCCACTATAAACAAGTTTGAGCTAGCTCGTGAGCCTTGACGGATTTTTTAAATATTATAAATTATTTTAAATATTTAAAATTTTATTAAATATTTTAGATATCATAACAGGGTACAGTAGAGAGTAATATATAGCCAAACAGGTGGCAGCAATGTAATAACATAAAGGTAAATACATAAGGCAGTTATATATGCTAATAAGCTCACCATAATAAATGAATATTGAAAAAGATTGTTATAATTGAGTAAAGTCGACATTAAATATCTTTGTATCATATTGGCTATTATTGACAAACTCGTGATTATGTGCTCATAGTTATTGCTTCTTAGGAGAAGATATATTATTCAATGATTTTGACAATATTTTCTAAATCATTTGTTCTTGCTTATAAGTTTCCTCCTTATATGAATTTGATAGTTGACTGGTTAGTTAATAATTAGCAAGTTTTAAGATATTTTTATGTTAAGATTACATATAAAAATATAATGTAAGATGAAATAGTGAATCAATGTTATATTGTGCAAGCAAATATTTAGAATATCAGGTTCAAGTCAGATCGGTTCGGTTAAGTTTCAGATCAAGAGGTATTCGTAAGGTCTATAAACGAAGTCGTCAGAAGAAGACGACTATCGCCTATAAATTGGTCATAAGTAGATGAGTACGACTTATCAGATTGACCCCAGTGATTCTTCAAGTGGACTATTTCCATCATATGGGAAAATAATAATTATTGAATAAGCTATTAGGCTATTTGTCCTCCTAGGTATTACAAGCCACTGTTTTTTTTTTTTAGCTTGAAAAACAAATTTTTAAAGTTGGACATTTTGATTAGGTTGTGTACAGCTCGATATATATTTCTACACTCCAATTTATTTTATAAAAAAAATTACAAATATTCATATTATAGAGTTGCTCTTAAAAATTTTATGCTAAGAAGTTGCATTCTAAAACAGCTTTTAAAAAAGCTATTTTCCGCACAATAACTTTACAACCATCTTTTCAAAAAGCTACAACCATTTCAAATAAACTCAAAATCGATCTCTTAGAATCATAAAAAATAGGCTCGTTGATCTCATAAATCAATGAAGTATAACTTTATTTTAAAGATCATAAATACTATTCTGAATTATAAATATGCTTAATTAAATAATTTTGATACAAAATTCAAAATCAAACAACCAATTATTCAAATGCATAAGCTAATTAGAGTCTAACCATGTACTTGTTTTCTTTCCTCCATTACTTTCTCATAATTGTACATTAATTATTCCACATTTAACTTAAATTTCAATATTCCATAGTCTTCAAGTCTCTCTCTCTCTCTCTCTCTCTCTCTCTCTCTCTCTCTCTCTCTCTCTCTCTCTCTATGTCCATAGTCATATCTCCTAAAACCCTAAAAAGGTGGATCATCCTTATCAATTTATGTTGTCAATATACTTAAAAATAGCCTACAAACTATCAACAATCATAAATCACAATACATAAGCTTAAAAGAACTAAATCAACCCACATAAAGTCTATACCACAGCCTCCTTATTTTTATCTTGATGTCATACAAACTAAACCAAACATAGTCAACACAAAGCTATAAAAAAAAACAATCATGGATTCATCATTTTTGTTATAAAATAGGCAAAAAATATACCAAAATCACTCACCAAATCCATGCTATTTCAAATCACAATTAAGCTTAAAAAAACGAAGAAATTAGGCCTTAGATTAAAAGACTATTTGAGATTGTTTTCTTGTTGTTTTGCTTTTCAGATAGTAATCATAATTTCATTTGACCACATTTTTTTTTGCGACCTTCTCACTAACCGTTTTAAAAAATTATGTAATGAAAAGTTGTTTCTGACAACATAATAGTTAAATTAGGTTCTGTTTGTGTGGGCTAAAATGTTTGTAAACTTGGTTGTTAAGTTGTTGTGGAGTAAGTAACTTAGATACTATGGTTGTAAAAAACAACTTTTCACCAACAAAATTTCTAAAAGTAGTAAAAAGTGGCAAAAAATAATAGCCAAACGAAAATTAGTTTTCGTCTGAAAAAGCAAAATAATGAGAAAGTTTTCTCATACAAACCTTTAAACTACTTTAAAATCAACTTTATAAAACACTATAGTGGTCCAAAACGGACCTAATTTAAGGCTTATTTTTGCTAAGTGCCAAATTTTGTATTATTTTTTCAAAGTTAGCACCTTTCATTTATCACGTTCATGGACCGGTTCAGGGGGGACGAATTCGGGCTGATCCGAAACAATCCCATGTGTGGCGATTGTGTGGTTGTCATGTGCGAGTTCATTCACACCTATTGGATGGACCACGATGGGCTACGCTTCGCTTTCATTGCATGGGATCGACACGACAGTCCGCATTCCCCTCTAAGTACATGCTTGAAAGCCATACCGAACAATTACGCTTCATGGCCAAAGCCTCTACAACAACAACAACAACAACAAGCATTTGTCCCACAATCCCACTACGTGGGGTCAGCTACATGAATCATTTTTCATCATTATGTCTGGTTAGAAGTCAAATTCTCATTTAAATCTTATAAAGAAAGATCATTTCTAATATTTTCTAACCAAGTTTTTTTTCTCATGGCCAAAGCCTCTAAGTGATCAAAATCAAACACATGAAGCAGTCTAAGTGAGTCAAGTCGACTTGTGAGCTAGCTCGAGTTTGGCTCTATGAATGGGTCATGAGCTAAGCTCGATGAGCTAACGAGCCAAGTTTTATTTAGTCTCGACTTGACTAGTAAGCTCATGAGCCGGCTCGTTTAAAATATATTAATAAAAAATAACCTTAAAATATATTAGAAATCAAGATTTTAAATACAAAGTTGTTAAAAAAAATTAGAATTATATCTCAATTTCTTATATTAAGTAATTATTTATTATTATTCTTAAAATTTCTCATTCTTTTGACCATTTTGTTATAATAATTACTTAGATCATATTTTTTTAAAGAATTTTTTTACTTAAATCATAATCATTTTATCTCTTTCATAATAAAATAGCCGGCTCATGAGCCGGCTCGAACTCATAAAATAAAGCTCGAGCTCAAGCCAAGAGTGACTCGAGCTCGACTCAACTCGTTTAAAACTCTAAACACATCTCATCTTGATATGTTGATTGGGAGCTATGACTACCGATCAAGAGGTCATAGATTCGAAGCTTATGTATGTGTTGTGTATATGAAATTATCTAAATTGACCTAAATGTTTAAAAAAAAAATCAAAATCAATAAATTTTAAGCACATTTAGATGTAGTTAGAATTTGATTAAATTAATTTTATTAAAGTTGGGTAACACATTGGTTCGACTCTCAGTGATTTTCAATCTCCTATCAAACACACAAACAAATAAATTTATATAACACCACACACATAAATATATGCTATAATATGTATCAAGTTGGTTTTAACATCAAATTTACTTATTTCGTTAAAAAATATTCATTTTAATTTTCAATCGGTTAAATTTTAAGTGATTATCAAACGAGTTATGAGTTTTGACGGGCGCTTTTAAGGCTACAATTTTGTAGACTATGGCTTTGTTTGGGACAACTTTCATACTGCTTCTTAAAGCAGCTTTCTAGTACAAAATTAATATTTTTTAACTAGAAAGCTACTTTAAGAAGCAGTAAGAAAGCCGTCTCAAACGAAGCCTATATATGCATAATTTAAGATATATAGATTGAGAAGAAGCCAGAAGGTCATTAGCCTGTGATTATCTATTTAGGATTGTTGCAACTTTTTAAAAAACAAAGTTGTAGCAATCCCAAACGAACGACCATCATCAGCCTACTGCAATGTCTGACTAGCATTCGATCTTTGACCATTATCGTCAATTATCCTTTAATTGTTCATAGTTGAAAGTTGTTTTTTTTTACATCAAGAGAAGCTAAGTAGCTTTCCCCGCACCAACTCCACAACAAATTTTATAAAACACTTCAACTATCTTAAACAAACACTGAGGGACCACTATAGCTTTTTATAAAGCTGGTTATGAAATTGCTGAGGAGAAAACAACTTACTTCGCTACTTTGGCTCTGTTCGTAAAAAAAATTCCTCCACAATAATTTCTAAATAGTAAGAAAGTAGTATATAACTTTTGAACGAGAAAATTTTTCACTGCTTCTTAAAGCAGATTTCGAGTACAAAAATTTTAACTTTTGAACTAGAAAATTGTTTTAAGAAACAGCAAGAAAGCTATCATAAACGAAGCCTTATGGTTCGTTTTGGACAACTTTCTTACTTCTTCTTAAAGCGCCTTTTCTAGTTAAATTTTTTCTATTTTTTAACTAAAAAACCGCTTTAAGAAGCAGGAAGAAAGCCATCACAAACGAAGCCTTAG